TCTCCACAATGACATGCCTATATGGGCAGCCTCGTTTTCACCCACAGTACAAAGAAAAAACTAGACTCCTCTGAAAATTTCGTGTGTGAGAGAATGGTAAAGTTGTACAAACTCTACTTTCCAAAAGAGAAAACACCCTGCTTTATCAAAATAATTGAATGGGTGCTAAGTGAAAACGAATGTCTTAAACTATAGTACATACGGAGAAGTGATGATTCATGATTAAAAGGAATCTGTGTGCATTCCTGCGCTGTGCTGTTCTTTCTGTTGTTCCTGTCATAGTATTTGTCTGCTGCTAAAAGATCGCATTAAAGAGCAATATGCACTGTCCATCTTAGGCCTCTTTAAATACTACTGTTCAGTACTTGATGAAAAGCTTACAAATACCACTCAATTCATTGTCAGTTCTTTCTAATACTGTGAAACCAGGAAGCTTTTGAAAGCTATTATTATGATAGGCATTTTACGTGTAACCAGGGCTTGAATTTGACCCCGTCTGGCAATGCCGTATAATAGTTTCACATGTTATAAAATAAACTATAGATCTAGATAGTGTAGAGAGAAAAGAAGTGAACAGAAACAATATTATCAAAGAACGTACAATCAAATATTTCCTATCAATAGTCTGTTAAAACAGGAACAGGTATCAGGAACAGGTATTATAACATGAAATTTTGTTTTGAAGTTATTATACTGTAGTTAGTTGTAGCAGTTACATGCTTGCTTTTTTTTTTTTAAGTAACAGAGCCTGATGGTCAGGACTTTCTTTGTTTTTAAATTTGGAGAATAGAAAAAAGAATCTATGAGCCAGTAGCTGGCAGACTCTGTTAGCAAGGATATAGTGCTTTTCACCTTAAATCTCATCTACAAAATATGATTGCTTTTCCAGCTCACATTAGGTGAAGAAAGAATTGGATTAATGCTATACTATGAAGCTTTCCAATTACATAATTGGGATGTTTAATTAAGTGACATGCTTAATATGTAAACCCAGGACATTCAGAAATACTCCAGCTGAACTAGACTGTAAACAGACAATGCACTTATTATAGCAAATAAAAACGTTGGTCCATTTTTATAACTCTTGAACTATTTGGATTCATTTGAGGATAGCCATGATCCTTGCATTTTTTATTAAGAACTTTTTGATCCTTTCAATGAGGTACGCTTAGAAGCTTAATGTAAACACATTTATCATGTATTTCTTAAAATCTAAAGGCATTCCCTACCTACTCTAAGATAATGTCTAAATGCTTTTGACTTTTACTATTTTGACTCATTGCAAGTTTCAGAATCTTCCTTCTCTCATTTCAGAAGGTATAGCCCTATCTTCATGTTCATGTACCCAGTACGTCTTGGTGCCTAGAGCAACACATCTGGTTTATGCTTAATTCATCTAATGAGAAAATAAATAGGGTAAATTAAACCGTTACTTGATGTATCACTATAGGGACTTTTTAGATCTGTCAGCATAGCAAATACCAGGAGAGAAAAAATTTCTCTACCAACTAAAATGGACTGTTTTTCCTTTCTTCACTCTGATAGAGATTTTAATTGATAGAATACAATTTCTTCCAGGACATCCATTTAAGTAAATGATTCCTTCTGATTTCATTTGGTAGCTGCATAATATATCACGTTTCCTTAGATCCAGCAGACTTTTATTTGTTTTCTCACCAGAAGATATCTGAGGTAGCTTCTTTCTTTCCTCTATCGCACATTTAAGTTGTGGTTCCTCATAAGGACATTTGCATTAACAAAATTACCTATCTAGTGGGAAACATTTTCTTATGCTTAACGTCTAAATGCTTTTGACTTTTACTATTATTTCCTAAGTTGCTAATGTATGTATGTTTTAGAAAGGTATCCATAGACCTTCAAATCTAATACTGACTTAGCTTTTTAAATATTGATGAGTAGCATAATCTCAAAAAAAAATGTAAGGACTTGTTAATCTTTATCGTTTTTTTTTTTTTTAGTGAACTTATAATAGCAAAAAAAAATGCAATGGGACAGTAACAAAAGTAATTAAGGAGAAATAGAAGAAAAGTGTCACTTAAAATAAATCACTTAAAAATGGAAAAGTTCTGCATTTTGAGAATCATTCATTTCTGAACAAGACACATTGAGCAGCTTACATTAACATATAACTGACACTCATAGGAAAACTAATTTTCTATTTATTAAAATAATTTAAATTTTTATTAGCCTAAAGTACTTCATTTGGGAAGAGCTTATGTATGTAGATTTTTAAGACAATGTCATTGACTTATTTGTAATGTTAAAAATCCTAAGAAGTGCACCTGTTTATTCTTACTATATAATTATTTCTAATTTGTGTTTTTGTACATGTCTTACAGAAGTAGAATGTCAATGAGTTGTGTGTTACTTGGTTTATCTTTCTACATATCTTATGTCTGTGTGCTGTCAGTTTTAGATGGCAGTGTCATAGATGGTAGGCCAAAAACTGCTTAACATTTCCTGAACATCACATTACATGTGATTCATGTGATATTAGAATGACAGCGATGTGGTTGTTTTTATGTCTTAAAAGTTTAATTTCAAGGGAGATACATGCCACTTAATATTTAGAAAATAGTTATCCACTCATAACAAAAGGGGAAAAAAATAAACTCTAAAGAATGAAAAGGTAAAAGAAAAAAAAAAACTTGCTTAAATCTGCTTATACACTAGATCACTCATAATAGAAACAAGCTATAGGACAATAATCTGCATAAGCTGAAATCTGACTTTAAACTTGAAGTACATACCTTTAGTCATAAAACGTTTCTTAGAAAATGCATTTGCTATCAGTTGCACATAAAGCAGTTTTAGTTGTAGTAGATGAGTGAAAACAATATGCTAAAGAGTGATAAGAGGCTATTAGGGGAGAGAAGGATGGCACGTTTCTCACACATAATAAATGTTATAGAGCATACATATCTGCAAGTAAATATCTATATGTATATAGCTACCTACATCCAAGCAATATCTACTCATTTACTTACCTATCTATTTACCTAGATTGGCAGACTTTTTAAAGTATAATATATCTGTCTTTCTCTGTTGCTTGATTTCAGTTTGATTCTTTGTTGTTTGGATACAGTATAAGGTAAATGATTATGGAAAGAAAAGGCATTTTTGTACATACGTAGTAGTTTTCCAAACTGTTTTTGTTTTAATCATTCTATTTGTTTATAAAAAACAAATAAGTAAACTGACCATTAAGTATTTAAACAAATAAACAGGTGAGTTATCATTTGAGTAAATTATCTTTACAGCATGTAATTAATTTAATGTAAATTAATGACATATTATGATAAATTAAGATACAGTAACTTCTAATGTGTCAGTGTGTTTTTTAAAAATCCAAAAATATTTTTGAAAATATCACTTTTGAATTTCTTGCTGTTATAATGTAATTCTTTTCCTTCCCCAAAATTATATCTACTTAATTCATATTTCTAGATACCAACATGCAACAGAAAGACATCTCTTTTTTAGTATTAAATATGAACATATTTTTCTCAAGAGAGCACTTAATCTACCCTGAATTTCTTTTCCTTTTTATTCTAATTTCTTTTTCATTATTAATTTCTCCTTTCTTTATAACATAAAATGCCAGACTTGAAAATGTTGAATTGCATTAAAAAAGACTATTCAAATAAATTGTGAACCGTATCTGTTCATCTTTTTTCTGTTTTCAAAGACACATGGTGTTCCAAGAATTTGTTCTAAAGCATTATGCATATAAATACTTGCTCTTATTTACAGTAAAAGTGAATTGTTTTTGCTAGGAAAGAAAGAGATTGCTTCTTCAAAGTTTGCAAATGTGGAGGTTCACATGCTGCTTCGTACTACAAGTGGTGCCTCGGAGGAGAGCACCTGCCTGAGGACGTAGCACACTCCTCAGGCTTCTCTGCGAGGTTCTCCTATTTACCTCTCTGGCCACCCTTTTCCTCTCTCTCCGCATCGTTTGTCTGTCTCTCCAGGACTTTCTCTCTAGCTTTTCTTTTTTTTCTTTTTTTTTCTTTTTTTTAATTTTTCCACCTTAATCATTTTTATTTATTTATTTATTTATTTATTTATTTATTTATTTATATTTTTTACAGCTTTTCTTACCCAGTATTTTTCTTGCTTCCTCTTTCTCCCCTTTCTTTTTCTCCCTCCTTATTTCCTTTTATTCTTTGACTCTTTAATTCTCAGATCATTGAGAAGGAAATGGTAGAAAAGAAATGTTAAGCAAAATGCTTTTTTGTTTGTTTGTTTAATGAGTAATCTTTCAGCAATTTTTAGATTTCTAGACTTCTTCGTATAAGTTTAGTTAGCTTGAAATAAAATTTTTAAAGAAGCTGTGATTCATTCTTTGAGAGGATCTGTGGAATTATTTGGTAAGATATATATATAAATAGTAGAGTTACTACATGTACTCATGTAGTAATATGCGTTATTACATGTATTTTCTAGTACTATATATTTTATTTTTTATATAAAATTTTAAAGATGGTGATTACGTTTTATGAATAAGCACATTCTGCATACATTCTTTTTATAGCTTTGATAACATATTTATAGGCATATTATTTCCTATTGTTTAACCTCTATTATTTATCTTAATCGTACCTTTAAAACATTCCAAAAGGCTTTTTGTTTATAGCACTGTGACTTAAGATGACTCACTATGAAGTATCGAGAACACTGTGTATTATAACTGTTTATTTTTAACTACACTAATAAAAGCTCACATACCTTAGCATAATACATTAGAAGGTGTGGAACATGAAGATAGAATCTTTATGATGAAACACGATGCATCTGGAAAGCTAGTGTAGAACAACAGTGGTACTTTAACATTCTTATGAAGTCATTCGATAATATATCATATATTGCATAAAATTATAGGCCATCATCACCAAGGAGCTTATTCGCGATGACATACAGCTGTGCGGCAGGTTCACCGGCATTGGCTGAGACCGCGTTTTCTCTCTTCTCTCCGTCAGGTACCCGTGTCGGTGGCCATGATGACTCCCCAGGTCATTACCCCCCAGCAGATGCAGCAGATCCTGCAGCAGCAAGTCCTGTCCCCTCAGCAGCTGCAAGCCCTGCTCCAGCAGCAGCAGGCCGTCATGCTGCAGCAGGTAATGTGGGTTACCTGCTTTGGTGTTCTCGCTTGGCGCGGGAGCTAGGCCCTCGCGGTCCCCGCATCGTGGGTGTGTTTGACAGTGTACTCTCCATTGGAAGGGCCAACTTACCAGCAGCTAGCACATATCTGTGGTGCCTTCACTGCAGAGCCACAGGAGAACAGATCCCTTGTCGTTGTTGTTTTTGGATTCATTAAAGTGTAGGATAATTGCAGAGAGAGGTGTGATTGTAAGTCGGAATAAGTCAGCATTTAAATATCCCAATGCTTAGGTACATTGGCTTTGTAGATTTGCCAATAAGCCTACAAAGAGACTCCTAGATAATTATTACTTTTAAAACTCCTAAAACTCTAGCACTCTTCTTAGTTCGTGTAAGTATGAAATTTGAACTGGCTATTTTGTTACAATAGGGAAAGTAACATGCCAATTCCCCCCCAAAAAATATGTTCTTTGTTTAGGAAGAGAAGTATCTCCTTATTAGAATAAAGTTAAACAGCTAAGCCATCAGCCCATAAAATTTATCTTAAAAAAAAAAAAAAGTAACAGAACTAATAAGTACACCACTGGGCCCTCAGTGGACCTGATGGCATTGACTTACCTGGAGCTGTTGGTGACACAAGCCAGTGGCTTGTGTTTCTGTCTGACCTCCTTCTGTGCATCTGATGGTTACATTTTTTCCCAGTCAGAACGGAACAGCCTGAGTCCCCATAGCTGTGTAGTTGGGTTGTATACATGGCAGGGTGTAACCTACTTTTACATGCTATTGGGACTTCGGATGTCATAACTTAGGGTGTTTATTTGGTCCTGGCCCTTTAGGATATGGATTTTCTATACTCTTTTATTTAGGGCTTCTTTTATTTACTCTGGATTGGAAAATTCCAGAACTGCCTTGGGAAAAAAAATGTGTGGGCAGATGCCTCCTTATGTCCAATGTATACGTCTTTTTATTTTTATTTTTTGTTCTTGTGAGGCAAACCTTAAAGGACACCACCCCAGGCCAGTCTAGAAGAGAGTAGGAGGGTTGTGATGCGTGAAACTTTTGCCTGTATTTATTAAAGTCAAAATGGTTTATTCAGCAACAACTACAAGAGTTTTACAAGAAACAGCAAGAGCAGTTACATCTTCAGCTTTTGCAGCAGCAGCAACAGCAGCAGCAGCAGCAACAGCAGCAGCAGCAACAGCAGCAACAACAGCAGCAGCAACAGCAGCAGCAGCAACAGCCGCAGCCGCAGCCGCCGCCGCAGCCGCATCCTGGAAAGCAGGTGAAAGAGGTAGGTCTGGCCCGCGCCCGCTCCTCCTGGGTACCGAAGAGTGTGAGGTTGGGAAGAGTGTGAGTGCAGCCGGGATGGTCTCAGATCTTCCTATCTCGAGGCTTTTGCTGTCAAAGATGCGTCCTCTTGCATTTTTGCTGAGCTTAGTAACAGTGACCGCGGCCCTAGCCTGCTGTCCTCTTTTGTGGCTTGAAACTTGAGAGTCCCAGGCCAATGCTGCTGAACATCCGTCTGATGTTCACTAATGGGTACGCGTACAGAGAGCAAGCAGCGCGCCGGACAAAGTACCGGTTCCCTTGTGTTCACGAAGAACCTAAGTTGGTGAGGGCACCGGATTTCTTCTCGGGGCTGCCGCTCAGAGAACATGCATGCAAATTTGACCTATTGTTGGGGGTTGGTGGTGGTGGGGGGGGTATCTGGGGGAGAAAGCGGTTGAGCACAGATTTCAAAGTCACATGCCTCTGATTAATGAACTGCTACTGTAGGTTTGGAGTGGCGAGTAGAAAGTTCCAGTTTGATATGCTCATAAATCAAACTGACAAGCCGGCTTCTTGGGCCCAGCTCGCACTTGTCAGCAAACTGCATCAACTATAAACATAAGACAAACAAAACATGTTGAAGCAGTTAAATTGATCAGCAGGTATCAGAGCCCGTTGTCTTCAAGCGGCCATTATGCAAACGTCCAGGAAACAGTTTTGACCTCCCGAGGCTTTGATTTTGTTTGGATTTGTGAATAGAATTTCAGACAGCCATCAACTACAGAATAGAAATTGCTCCCTTATTTCTCTGGAGGCTTTGGGCAATCCACATGACTTGCTCCATTATGCAGCCTGTTTTCCAGTGAGCGCATCAGAAGTTTATTTTCCCCAAACGGAACGGAAAAGGTCTCCCACGGCCGCGTGTCCCTCCCTGAATCAGTCTTCCTTCTCATGCCGGCCTGAGTCCCAAGGAGCAGGGATCGTACTGTCACGCCTCACAAAGTTAGAAGTTATACTTTTCCTCTAACAAGGGCACTTCATTGGCCTTGGACATGATTCAGCCTTTAATACATTCCTCCGAGAGAGGAGAGGAAGGGAGAGAGAGCTCACAGGTCTCTTCTGTGGATGTTACATCCCAGTTCACTAACAGATCATGAGAGACCACATGCATGGACCTCTGAGATCAAAGTTGTTCCGCTGGGGGGAGCAGGGGAGAGATGGGGGCGGATGTTGTTGAACTTGACTGTCCTTATAAACTTACTCTTTTAGCCTAGGTAAAGGTACTATCACCTGCAATAAGCCCATTAAAAAAAAAAAAAAAAAGTGTGACCTTTTGTTATATATTTCTCTAGCCCTTGTCCCGTACTCTTAATGCAAGCTCTGTGGTTCTCGGCTGCTACTACATAATATTTGAAAGAAAGGCAACTGAGAACCTAGAACTTGGGTGCATTCTGCTCGTGCAAGCTCCCCAGGCCGTGAGGGGGTGTGCGCTCCTCTGTGTGAGGCCGGTGGCGGCGTGTTCCGTGCTGTTGACGGGCTGGGTGTCCCGGCAGCAGCAGCAGCAGCAGCAGCAGTTGGCAGCCCAGCAGCTTGTCTTCCAGCAGCAGCTTCTTCAGATGCAACAGCTCCAGCAGCAGCAGCATCTGCTCAGCCTTCAGCGTCAGGGACTCATCTCCATCCCACCTGGCCAGGCGGCGCTTCCTGTGCAATCGCTGCCTCAAGGTACCTGCAAAGCAAACGTGTGCACTTCATTTCTGTGTTCCACTTCCTGCCCTTTCCTGGCCTGCCTGCTGTACACCTTGAGAATTTTGTTTGTAGGGCCTCCAGATCTGTTATGAAAACACGATTTACAAGATGGCATGACACACTTTTTTTTTTTTTTTTTTTGAGACTCAGAAATTTCACCACACCTGCCTTTGAGTGATTTGTTAGATGGTGAATGTGCATTTATTAGTCAGATGGCAGAAAATTATAAGGGCAACAGAATTAAAGCACTGTTAAACATACACTGAGAATCTGCAGAGAATTGGATTAGTGGTAAGGCTAACAACACTCATTGAGCACGAGTGAACTGAGTTTTGTGGACAACTGATCAGAAAAAAGAAGTTCCTAATCTTTATGTTGAAACCACTATATATATAAAGGTTTTATGTGTGTCTACAGAGCACATTCCCAGTTATGCTATGTGGGATCCCATCATGGGGAAAGACTGATCCTATTTTCTCTAAAATAATATTGTCTGTGCATCTGTTAAACATTATAGTTTTCAAAAGCTGTCAGCTGTGTTCTTTGATTTTCTGAAAAGAAAACTGGGGATGTGCTTTGATAACACAATAACAGTATAATAGAATAATAGAACACTAAACAATAATACAATTGTATATATTTATCATTTGATTCTTAGCTCTGGGGAAATGGAAGGAGTTCCAGGTAAATAAAAGAAAAATAATGGTAATAAAATGACTCCGTGCATGCTAAAATTCTCGATACAGGTAATTGGAATCATATATTGATAAATTTAATAAAAGGGTATCCTAATTTGCATTAGGATTTTGTTAGAACAAACTTTAATCCCAATGAACTTTAGTTTGAGTTCATTATATTTGTTACACAGGAATCACATTATAGTAGGAATTGCTGTACATTTTTCTGACTTAAGGATGCACTAAAGAAAATCAATAGCAATTATATATACAAAAAGTACAATTAGGCAAATAAAATAGTTTTTAAAATGCACATAATCATTGCATTCCCACGTGAAATTAAAAGTAGTATAGTAAATATTTTTTTCTTTACTTATCAAATTGTTGTCATCTTGGATTATTTTCCGAGAATTCCCTCTTTCATTTGATTCAGGTACTCTAATTCACCAGATCCTCTAATTTACACCTAGAAAATCAAAAAAGTTTAAACAATAAAGGAAAAGCAAGGCAATAAATCCACTTTCTGTGTCACTCCGAAAAGAACTGGAATAAATCATGGTGTCACTTTAGCAATGAATGTTCTATTAACAAATTATTCTTTAGGAAAATAAGTACAATGTGAGGACAAATGAAGAAATAAGGTTAAAAAAAGAAAGAGACTTATAAATTAATTCAGTGTAAATATGGATGTTTTTGGTAGAAATCTAACTACGTTAAAACAGAAGCAAAAGAAATTTTATTGATTTTTTTCAGTAACAGAAAAATCTGTTTTTAGGATCTAAAATCTATGCAAATCTTCTCAGTAGAGAACAATGATCTATTATGATTATGACTAAAACCATTCAAATAGGCATTTTAAGAAAGTTTAAAATAGATGTTCATAGAAACAAAATGTAGTATATTTGAAATATATTTGTTAAATATATGTTTCCAAAATAAGCATGCAAAATACTTTTCTAAACAAATAAATGTTATCAGATAACCATTCTAATAGTTTTCAAATGAACAATTTCTCTTATTTCTGAGCTTTCTTTTGATAGAATTCTCTTGTTCCCTTTTATTTTATTGGTATGCTTCACAAGATAGCTGAGAGATAAAACACACAGGATAGAGAATTTTGAGGAAATGGAAGTAAATCTGAAAATGTACTGGGGTTTGAGTAGAAATTTTATATATTAAACAAACAAGATGAAAATCATTTTCATGTTTTTCAGTGTTTAAATGAGTAAGTGTGAAAATTTTGTGGAGAACCATCAGCCAAACATAGCCAGACTGTCAGATAAGCCAGTTACAATAAGAAAAAAAAGAAAAGAAAAAAAAAATTCTTCAGAGAGCTATGCTGGGATCCCAAAATGAGAGTGTGGGAAAGAGAAGAAATATTTGTTAGATAATGTAATAAGCCCTGAATCATGTCTGTCTTAGATACTGGTTAACATAAAAAATATTTTAATTATTTTTATTTATAGTTCCCCAGTTCACTTCGCATCAGGCTTTGGTTGGTTGACTGATTAGCCACAGATAAGAGCCATATGAAAACTGAGTAGGATTAATATTCGGTGCCTCAAGCTACTTGCAAAGCAGTGTATATTGGAAATTACGCCATATTTGAAGTATTTATCCCCATGATTCAATACAACTTTCTCGGGCGGCTTTCAAAGTTAAAACTTTTTTTTAACTCTATTAAAAATATGAATATGAGAATCAGGTAATTTTGATAAAAGCAGGAGATATACCCACATTTTTGTTTATATTTTAAAGTAATGAAATGTATACTAGCATTTCAAAGTAAATTATTTAAAATATGAAGCATTTGAAGTCATCATGAGTATTACTATAATATTTTATAGTAAAATAAGCAATTAGATTATCCCTATGCATATAGAATGACTGCAGATATACAAAAAGCAAATAAAAAAGTATGGTTTTGTAAATCATCCTCAAATAAAATACTGAATGTAAAGCTATTTACTACATAGTATAGTTTAAATACCAACTAGTAATTATTTGGAAACATATATTCATTGTATACAGGTTATAAAATAGGAAATTATTGGTCATGTACTTTAAACTGATATGTTTTCTATATCAGATAGAAGTCAGTGTACACAGTACACAGTATATTCACAGGTTTATTATGATTACAGGGACTAAAATATATGTGATAAAAACTCCATTTCACTCCAATGTTTCAGATATTTTTGAACTTATAAAAGTTATTTAAAACATATTTTCATTACCAATCTGAAAGACCCAACAGGGAGTCCTGGCTATGAAGCTGGTACAATTTTGAACTAACACTTTATGGAACTAGAACAGCTTGGAGATTAAGATAGTTTGAAATAATCCTATATAATAAAGAGGTATTATGCAAATGGTTGTCACACCCTCACACAATCATGCGTTAAAGGCTCAGACACTCAACACTAGGGAGAGAGGAATGGGGACCAGCCAGGCTACGGCCGCAGAGAGAGACAAGCCATCTGCCCTGCTGTCTGCCCTGCTGTCCTGGGTGCCAGTGGCTGCACCTGTGCCTGCGGCCTGGGAAGGGACAAGCCGCCCACCCACAGCCCCCTGCAGCTGCAGCCGGCCCAAGCAAAGCTGGCCCGAGTCTTAGGTGACTTGGCTGGCCAGAGGGAGGGAAGCCCAGGTCCCAGGTGCCTGCGACCAGCTGGAAAAGTAAATCCTGGATCCTGGGTATGGGGTGAGGCAGAGGCAGTTAGGGGTGATCAGGCCAGTGGGGAGCAGTTAGGGGTAATCAAGCAGGCAGGCAGAGTTGGTTAGGGGTTATCAGGCAGGCAGGCAGGCAGGCGAGTGGTTAGGAGCCAGCAGTCTCTGATTGTGAGAGGCAGTTGGATATCTCCCAAGGGGTTCTGAATTGGAGATGTTGCAGGCCAGGCTGAAGGACACTCCTCCCTTTCCCCGGCATGCACACATTTCATGCATCAGGCCTCTAGTCTATAATAATGTCATTTATGCTGATTAGGAAGATGCTGAAGTTTATCTTTGGTATGAGTATTTAGTAAAAAATCAGTTATTTGGCTTTGACTTCATTCTCTGCATATGGAAATATAAATAGCCAAATGCCTAGTTCAACACCATTCTGGCATCCTTGATATTTTTGGTTAATATATGATCATGTGCTTGCATAGGTCACCAATGCATAATCAGTGTAAAGCACCAGTAATATGAATAAAGCATGACATGCAGGGTACTGTTACCATCATAGGATTCCCTTTCAAATATAAGTAAGTTTCTATTTGTAACTTGGAGGGAAAATATATTGGGTGAGGGGGAATTATATGCTGAAAGTCTGTCAGTGAACAGAACTATAAATGTACATAGTACATTTATTATTGCAGGTATAAAACTTATCTAAGTTATTTGTGATTACTCTTAATATTATGTATAAAATCTAACATATATTTTGAAATACATTGGAAAACATTAAAGTGTGTTGAGTTAGTTTTTGAGAAAATGTAAAAAAGTAGAAAGATGGATATTAGATGATATTATAAATCTAATTGTTATAGAATTATTTGATGAGCCAGCATGCATAATTTTATTTAGGCAACAAAACTTGAAAAAAAAAAAACTTCTGTTTGTCAATTCTTTATGTCTTGAAGGAAGCCTAAAGCGTGGAATGTCAGTTTGGCCACATTAAAATATTTGGGTGATGAAAACTGAGAAATTATTGTTTTGTAATAGAATATAAAACTTTAAAAATGCAACCTATAAAAATTGTAATCTTAAAATCATAGGAATAATTTTTAAAATATCAACTATATTCCTATATCCCAAAAGTTCCCGTTTTGGTTGCTATATTTGCATTTGGTCTCAGTTTCAGCCAAATAGTGATTTTTGTTCCCTATAATTCAGCATTTGGACAAAATGTGTGTTTGGAGTACCCTTCATTAAACATGTATTTTAAAGATGGACACTGTACCTACAGGCTATCATAGGCCCCTAGTCAAATATAAAACAATAATGTGTTAGGTTTGGCACATTACATATGAACAAATAGTTCTCTGAAAGGTAGCCTAGAGGTTGGAATAATGATGGCCTCTGGAGAACTGAGGACCCAGAGGTCAGGGCTGGTGAGGAAATTTAATTTTGAAATATACACTTTTTTGTGATTTAATTATTTTGGTCATTTTTCAAAATATAAAATTTAATATGAAAATAAAAATTAGATGACACTATTTCAGTAATTCAAAATACAAAATATAAAATTGGCTCAATAAAATATATGGATGATATAAATACTTCTTCCAAAATTTGTTTTTATTACTTCTAATTATG